AAAAAAAGTAGCCCTGGGCTACACCTTTAATGCAAGTACTCAGGAAGCAGTGGCAGGGGCATACACAGAGTAAAAAGAAAAAGTATGCTACAGACATGACAACAAACTGGACAACAGAATATGGGTATTTGTTCAAATATTTGTGTGTGTAGTTTTTTTTTTCTTTTTTGTACTGCTGGGGATCAAACCTAGAGCCTTGTACATGTTACGCAGGTTTAAGTAAGTTTTTGTCAACTTTTTCCAAATTTCATAGGGAAAGAAAGTTTTTCAATACAGAACTAGAAAAACAATGTCCATATACAAAATAAGCTAAATATTACCTCACACCATATGTAAAAAATAACATCAAATATGTAATATAAAGAAAAAACAGGCTGGACATTGGTAGAGCACAGCTTTAATCTCAGCACTAGGAAGGCAGAGGCAGGCAAACCTCTGTAAGTTCGAGGCCAGTCTGGTCTACAGAGTGAGTTCCAGGAGAGGCAGGGCTACAAAGAAACCCTGTCTCAAAAAAACCAAAACTATAAGCAACAAGCAGAGCCAAAAAAGAGGTTGTGTATGCTGAAACCTGAAAGACTAGGGTGGGACTATGCAAACGCCTTTGAGTTTATATCATATTACAACCCAGGTGCCCCCAAAAAGAGATACAGAGCTTGAACACGTGACTTGACAGGCTTTCCTCTTACTTTGATCTCTTCTTTCTCTGCCCCTGCTCCTCTCCTTTGGGTGGAATTGTGAATCCTTGGGAATGTGCAGTTTGCTCTTATTCAAGAGTTTGCCTAATTCTCTAAGAAGGAATTTAGACTTCTGAACCACGCTAGAATTATCAAGATTTATGAGAAGAATAGAAAATAAACTAGGTACATTATGGGTTTTTTGTTGTTGTGTTTTGGTTTTTCAAGACAGGGTTTCTCAGTGTAGCTTTGAAGCCTGTCCCCTTCTGTAAACCAGTCTGTGAACTCACAGAAATCCTCCTGCCTCTGCCACCACTACCCAGCTTGGGATTTTTATACATGTTAGTAAAAACATAAAATAGTGATTCTGGTATTGAAAACAATACAGCATATATACAAATATGTATACATAATAACAATGAAAAAAAGGTCATAAATTTGAAAGACAGTGGGAGGTGGTACATGAGAGGATTTGGAAGAAAAGGGAAATATAATCTAAAAAAATAAAAAAGTTATATAAAATTAAAAAAGAAAACAAAACAGCAGTAACTCAAAAACAGAAAAGATAATTATCACATGATTCAGCAATCCCAATTCTGGTTATCGATGCAAAAGAATTTAAAATAGGAACCCAGAAGTACACTTTTATACACCCATGTTCATAACAAGACAACTCACAATAGATCAAAAGCTGAACAAAACCAAACATCTATGAACTGGTAAATAATAAAATATGATATATACATACAAAGTAACATTATCCAGCCTTAAAAGAATAAATGAATTCTAATATATCATACAACAATATGGATAAATGTAGAATATTATTTTAACTATGTAAAGATGTTACATTTGTTTAAGCTGCAGAATATTACTTTAACTGTGTCAAGGTGTGTTACATTTGTTTATGCTGTGTTTTCTTAATTATGTAAAGATGTGTTGCATTTGTTTCGCCTTGCCTGTCTAAGGCACCTGATTGGTCTAATAAAGAGTTGAATAGCCAATAGCTAGGCAGCGAAAGGATGGGCGGGGCTGGCAGGCAAAGAGAATTAAGTAGGAAGGGAAATCCAGAAGAAAGAGAGAGGAAGGGTGAGGGAGGAAGAAAGGAAGGAGAAAAAAAAATGAGGGAGAAAGACAGGGACATGCCTGGAACCAAAAACCAGCCAGCTGCCAGCCAGTTGCCAATCAGAGACACAATAAGCAGGAAAGTAGAACATGCAGAAAGAAAAAGGTAAAAATCCCCAAGGCTGGGGCTGGAGAGATGGCTCAGCAGTTAAGAGCATTGTCTGCTCTTCCAAAGGTCCTGAGTTCAATTCCCAGCAACCACATGGTGGCTCACAACCATCTGTAATGAGATCTGGTGCCCTCTTCTGGCCTCCAGGCATACACATAAACAGAATATTGTATACCTAATAAATACAATAAAAAGAACAGAAAACATTCTTATAAAAAAAATCCCCAAGGCAAAATGTAGATAAAGAGAACAGATGAAAATAAGAGCTAAGATAAGGCCGAGCATTCATAAACTAATAAGTCTCTGTGTCATGATTTGGGAGCTAGTTGGTGGCCTAAAAGAAAGACTGCTACAGATAAATCTGGAAAGCATTATGCTAAGTGAAATGTTAGAAACAAAAAGACAAATACTATGATTCCACTAATGGGGATATCTATAAGGGTAAAGAACTGGCCAGGCGGTGGTGGTGCACGCCTTTAATCACTGCGCGTGCGCGCGCGCGCGCGCGCGCACACACACACACACACACACACATTCATACGTGCATATGTATATATACACACACAAAGGAGAGCCAGACATGGTATTAGGTGCCAGTAATTCCAGAACTAAAGAGGCAGAAGCAGAACAACTTATGAGCTCGAGGCCAGCTGAGCTACATGGTGTACTATAGGCCACCAGGAGCTATACAATAAAACCTGGTATAATTACACACATCTGCATGCACACAATGAAAACTGTAATAAAAAGGTCTGGCTGGGTGGTGGTGGTGGCAGCACTTGGGAGGCAGAGGCAAGCAGAGCTCTGTGCGTTTGAGGCCAGCCTGTTCTACAGAGAGAGTTCCAGGACAGGCTCCAAAAGCTATAGAGTAAGAGAAACCCTGTCTTAGAAAAACCAAAACGAAAAAAAGAAAAAGATTAAAAAGTTAACATTGTATTTGATCATGGAAATTGAAATCCTTCCACCTAAGAGTAAGAACGAGACAAGAATATCATTGCCATTGCTTCTACCTACTATTACATTGGAAATCTTAGCCAGTACAGTAAGAAACAAACACCATAAACATCAAAAAGGAAAACATATGGCTGTCTTTATTCATACTTGTGCACACAAAAGTCCCAACAGATTTATTGTTTTAGGTGACTATCAGAACTAGTAAATTCAATACAAACTCAACACACAAAATCAATTGAATTGTAACAATTTGGCAAATAAACTTTAAAACCAGTCTGATTCATAATAGCATTAAAATGCAAAATGGAAATAATTTTAAAGTAAAACAAGATGTCAACATTAATCCATTTAAAACATTAAAGAGAAAAAGTAAAAATACTGCATTTAGAAAAAGGACAAACTAAATGCAAGGATTAGAAGCCCTGCTGTTGATAAGGTGGCAGTTTGAGCCAGGGACAGAACACAGTGATAAAGCACTTTGCCTCACAGGCAAAGCTTCTTAGTTTACCTGGCAATGAAAAGAAAAAAAGACAATTCTTTTGATGGAATCAGTGCAAATCAATTTTTAAAACTCACCAAATTTTTTAGTTTTTTTTTTCAAATAAGTTGACTCTAAACTTTATATGGAATAGTTTTTTGAAAGAAAAAAAAAAAAACTAAGCCAAAATAACTTTGGAAAGAAGAATGGAGGCAGCTTATCAATACCCCGTTTATTATAAAGCCACAAAGTTGAGGACACCATGGCTTTGATGAAAAGATTCGAAAGGAGTAATGAAAGAAAATACAAAAATCCATAGATTCGCCAGTGGTGGTGGTATATACCTTTAATCCCAGCAGCTGAAGAGACAGAGGCAGGCAGATCTCTGTGAGTTCAAGCCTAGCCTGGTCTACAAGAGCTACAAAAAAACCCTGTCTCGAAAAACCAAAAAATAAAATAAAATGTTTAAGTTTTGCTGGGCAATGGTGGCGTACTCCTTTAATCCCAGAGGGCTGGGAAATAGATAGATAGATAGATAGATAGATAGATAGATAGATAGATAGATAGATAGATAGATGTCACAGTTTCTAAAAGAAAATGGAATTTGGTTATACTAAGAATTTTTAGTGAGGAGAGATGGCTCAGTGGCTAAGAGCACTGGCTGCTCTTCCAAAGGACCTGGGTTCAATTCCCAGCACCCACATGGCAACAGTTAATTTAAAAAAAAAAGATATTCATTATAAAATATGGTAAAAATGAAAAGGAAAACCAAAGGCCAGGAGAAAATATGAATACCACATATACCATATGACATCCAAAATATAAAAATACCAACAATGCAAGAAGTAAAAAGGAACTTAATGTTTCTAATGTTCAAGACTTGAACCATTTAAAGATATGACATATGAATAGCCAGTAGGTATATAATACAGTAACCAATATAACTGGCCATTGGGGAGATGCTGGCTAAAAATATACCTTCCCATCACAATGCTCACTAGAGTTACAAAAATTAAAACCCTGACAATATCAATTACTTGCAAACATATGAAATAGAAATTCATATGCTATTAGAACTATAAAACATAAAACCATTTTGGAAAACTGGCTACTCTATAAAAATTTTAATGTGTATCTACCTACCATATAAACCACCCAATTTCTACTATGCTTTAGAGGATCAATATACAAAATGTATACAAAATTTTGTGTAAGAAATTTATTTATTAAGCATACATTGTTTTGCCTGTATGCATGCTTGTAGGCCAGAAGAGGGCACCAGATCTCACTACAGAAGGTTGTGAGCCCATGTAGTTGCTGACAATTGAACTCAGAGCCTTTGGAAAAGTAGGCTGTGCTCTTAACCTCTACGTCATCTCTCCAGTTCTTGTGTAAAAAATCTTATAGCTGCTTTATCTGCACTAAACTAGGTCCAGCCCAGGTGTCAACAGACTGTGATACTGTCAGTACAATACCCCTCAGGAATCAAAGGCGAAAAAGCATAGGGAATTTTGAAGTGGAACTACAATGGTGAAAACTGCTTCGATTTACATTGCAGATAGGAGCATTTATTTCCTTGTATGAAAATTTCATATATCAATTTTAAAAAGATACAAAGAACAAGGGCTTTTGGATCACATAGAGCAGCTCCACCACTTACCAGGTGTGTGACCTTGGCCAAGTGTTAAACTGTCAGTCTCCCCATCTGCAAAACAGAAAGAACTAGAGTTGAGAATAACTTCACAGAGCTGCAGGAAAATTAAACAAGATAATACTTTAATGATATAATACAGTAAGTGCTCAGTAAATATTAACAAAGAAGTAAGAAATTTTACTTGCATATTTCAGTCTTGTTTACAATGACACCTAGTGGGGGCTGATACAGTTGTATGAAGAAACCAGGCTTCACAAGAAGAAGCAAAGATCAGCATGCAAACTGTCACCCGTGTTTTTCTTTTCTTTTCAACAAAAGGTCTCCTATATTTCAGGTTGGCATTTACTGTGCATCCCAAGACGATCTTGAACTATTGATTCTCATGCCTCTACCTTCCAAGTTCTGGGATTATAGTTCACTTATTTTCTACTGCACCATGCATCCTAATAAGCTACTCAACATTTATTTATTTAAGAGACAGCATCTTACTGTGTGGCTCACGCTGGCCTAAAGCTAACTAAATAGACCAGGCTGGCCTTGAAATCACAGAGACCACCAGCATCTGTTGCCACCTAGGTCAGCCTCAATTGATTCTTGCAAGTATTAACTCAAGCCTCACTTTATGGGGCTGAGCCATCTCACTGACCTATTCTAGGCTTTCAGAGTATCCCTTCCACAGAGCAATATCAAGATAAGAGAATTCTGGTCTGGCACAGTGACTGACACATGTAATTCTAGCACTCAGGAAGCTAAAGCAATAAAATAATCTTGAGTTAAAGCCAACTGTGACAACATAGGATATCCAGACCATTCCAAGCTACATATGATCCTTTCTCAAACACACACACCTGGGGGAAAGGAGTATGAATGCATATAATCTGAATACAAAACCTATGCTCTAAGTGGGAAGCTGGAGCTAAGGCTTGATTTGGCATAGTTTCAAAAACTTGTCAGCTGAAAAGTAAGCTAAATTCTTTTTAAAATATATTCCATTTTTCTTAATCATACAAGATTTTTTTTTTTTTTTTTGGTTTTTTGAGACAGGGTTTCTCTGTAGCTTTGGTGCCCGTCCTGGAACTAGCTCTTGTAGACCAGGCTGGCCTCGAACTCCCAAAGATCCACCTGCCTCTGCCTCCCGAGTGCTGGGATTAAAGGCGTGCGCCACCTCAGCCCGGCTCATGCAAGACTCTTACTTTAAAAAGTTAAAATTATGAGGTGGGTGGGAGTGCAATCCTTTAAATCTAGCACCTAGAAGGCAGATGGACAGATCACTTTGAGTTAGAGGCCAGCGAGATCCTCAAAGGGAAAATCCCTAAAGTGAAAGATTCTCATGCATTCTGGTACCAAGGTATGGAATTAAAACAACCATTTTCAGCTTTTTTCTTTTTAAATATAAGGGCCAGAGAGATGGCTCAGTGGGTAAAAACACATGACACATAGGGCTGATGACATGAGAATGATCCCTGGAAAACACCTAAAGCCAGAAGGAGCCAGGCACTGGCGAGATGGCTCAGAGGTTAAGAGCACTGGCTGCTCTTCCAGAGGTCCTAAGTTTAATTCCCAGCAACCAAATGGTGTTCATAATTATCTGAAATGAGATCTGGTGTCCTCTTCTGGCCCACAGGGATACATGCAGGCAAAATATTGTATATATAATAAAAATAAATAAATCTTTAAAAAAAAAGCCATAAGGAAAGAATCAACTCCACAGGGTTGTCCTCTGACCTTCACACACTTGCTTTGGCAGATATAGCCCATCCCATCTCTTTCTCTCTCTCTCTCTCTCTCTCTCTCTCTCTCTCTCTCTCTCTCTCACACACACACACACACACACACACACACACACACATTTCAAACTGTCACAAGACTGCTCCCATAGAAAAAAATAATTGCTACAATCTAACCTCAGATTTTTTTTTTACATTCTTTCTTAGTCATCCATCTTAAATTTCCAGGCTTAAGTGTTTTAGCATTCCCTACACCATCAGATAATGACAGACATCCATGACAACTGAATAACTAACAATTGACTTTGAATGTAACTATCTTTGCATCAATTGTAAAGAAATGCTAAACTCTTGGCTCCGCAGAGAATGACAACACGTCAGTATAAACTCTGAAATAGCAACAGAAGTCAAGGGAATGGAGGTTCAGCCTATGTTCGCAATTGCATCACACCCCACCTTGTTCAAAACAATCCTTATGAATCCTCATCAGAAAGCACTTCCCACCAAAAGACCTGAACCAGCAATGATGCAGAATACTGAACTGGAGCTTTAGAAACACGGGAAAGTACTAATGCCATGCGCCACCTAATCACTGAATGTTGCAGAGGAGACATTAAGGAAAAACAGGAGACTTGTAAAAGTTTCTTAATTTGCTTCAGGAAAGAGCCTGTCTCCTAAAGAACCTGTCTCATGAAGTCCTGAACATAAGCTAGAGAAAAAAAACCTCTTTGAGAGGCCTTAATTTGACAGTAAATTCTTCCAGTTTGTATCAAAATCATCCTATAATGCAAAAGATGCTAAAATGACACATCATTGCCTTATTCTTTCACACACCAAAACACATACACACACACACACACACACACACACACAAAAACCTAAAAACCACAGCTGGGCGTTGTAGTGCACAACTTTATTTTTTTTATTTATTTTTTTTTGGTTTTTTGAGACAGGGTTTCTCTGTAGCTTTGGTGCCCGTCCTGGAACTAGCTCTTGTAGACCAGGCTGGCTTCGAACTCCCAGAGATCCGCCTGCCTCTGCCTCCCGAGTGCTGGGATTAAAGGCGTGCGCCACCACCGCCTGGCTTCATCCTTGTCTTTTTAT